GCCCGGCTCCGGCCGTCGGGGCTTCGGGGCGTCCGGCCGCCCAGGCCCTCAGCGGCGTGCAGCCACGTCCGTTTGGTTCCAGGTTTGTTCAGGGAAGAGAACCCGTACGCCAGATTCGAGAACTGAGCCACTCGGGACGCCGGCCTGCAGCGCCCGCCTGACCGTCTGCCCCCGGCCCCCGGGCCCTCCCGAGTGGGGCGCCCGTCACCCTCCGTCTCCAGAAAACTTGGTTCCCCCAGCAGACCTCAGGGCCCTGCTGTCCGTGCGCACCACTCACGGGGGGCTGTGACGCGCCCCTGAGCACCCCTGGGGTTCTCCACGGACACGACTGCCGGCCCTGCTGGCGGCTGTCAGCTGGAGGTGGTGGGCGGCCACCGGCCAGGTCAGGGAGCCCGGGACCGAGGACGCGCCTCTCGAGCCCCCGGGGGCCCCGGGGGCCCTGTCCCTGTGCCGGCAGTCACGCCCCCTGGGGCTGCCCTTGGGAGGCGGGGCCGGGGCCGGGGGCGCCCACATGCCTCCAGACCAGACCCGGGCTCCGCCCCACGCCGCCCTCCGCACCCTGGGGAGCCGCCGCGGCCCCTGCTCGTCCCCGACGCCGGGGGTGAGGGCGCCGCGCCCTGACTCGCCCGGGTGCCAGCCGGCCTCTGTCGGCGTGGGGCGCAGCCGGCTGTAGCCCCGCAGACAGCGCCAAGTGCCTACAGCCTTAATTTTTAATGTTTCCAGTAAATGTTTTTGAAGCGATGAGCTTGCCGCACCCCGCGCGTCTGCGTCTACTTGCTCGGCGAGAGCCCAGCCTTGGGCCGCTCCCGGGGCAGACACCGCAGGCCGCTGTCTTCAGACCCCCGGTGTTGGCCGGCCTGGAGGCCTCCGCCTCCCCGGGAGCTACGGTGGGGAGCCCCAAGTGCCAGCGCCCAGGGTGGGGGCATCAGGCCGGCCTGTCCCTCCTCCCTGGCTCCTCTGCTGCGCCCTGGGGCCTGGTGCCCGCTGCCTCCGCCCAGAGGGCCCTGGGGTCAGCCCGCCCCAGCACTCAGGTGGGGGTGGGGCTGGGCAGGCCTGCCCCAGGCCGGCCAGTGGCTGACGGAGGCCCAGGAGGCCTGCGCCCTGGGGGAGGACTGAGGGGTACAGGTGCTTCTGGGTGCCCCTCCAGGACTGCCCGCCAAGGAGAGGGGGTTCAGGCTGGGAGGGGCCCCTGGCGCGCGGGGCCAGGCCTCTGGACAGTGGCAGGTGTGGGGCAGTGAGTGGCTAGGCCTCGGTCACCACTTCAGAGCAGCAGCGCCCCCAGACAACAGCCTCGCGGACGCCTCCCAACGGGGTTCGCAGGGGCGGGCTGGCTGGCCCCCGGCTCCCGCTGCCCCAGCACCAGGGCCTGGCAGTTGCTCAAGGGGCGAGATTCTTGGTTGGCCGAGTCCGTGGGCACCGCGGCGGGCCCTGGGAGAGGCCGCAGGGCGTCAGGCCGGCTGGCCGGGCGGCTCCCTGGGAGGCGCGGGCGGGCACCGGGCGGCGGCGTGGGGCTGTTTGCCTGCCAAGGGGCCTCGGTGAGAGCCGGCAGAGCCGGATCCCGGCCGCTGAGTCCCTGAGCCCGCAGGCCGCCGCCGGTCTCCCCACCACCCCAGAGCCAGGCGCGAGGGCTCTCGGGCTCCTCCCTGGGCGGGCGGTGGGCAGGCGCTGCGGCCCCTCAGCAGCCCACTCTGGGCCGTGTCCAGCCAAGCTGACCTCCCAAGGAGGTCACAGGAATGCAGGCGGCTGGGCCCCAGGACCGTCCTGCCTGGCCAGGGACCAAGGGTGGTCCTTACTGACCGGCGCCCAGTGCCCAGCGAGGTGCTGCTGGAGGGCAGGGCCAGGCTGGAGGACCGTTTTAAGCTGACTGACCAGAAGGGCCAGGCCGCTGGCCGGAGCTGAGGGCAGGTGGAGGGCCCCTGCCGTCAAGGACAGTGAAGTGACACCCGTCACGCCGAGCCCAGTGTCCACCTTTGCAGGTCGCCGTCAAGGTGAGGGAGGTTCTAGGCTGCTTGGTGCACAGAGCCAGGCCAGGCCTGTTGGCAAAGGTGGGCTGTTTGCGGTGGGCACGGCCAGCCGGACCCCTGCAAGCACCAGCGCCCGCCCCTGCACTCAGACTGACCGGCCCCCCCCCCCGCTGGGCTGCGCCCATTCTGCTGCCTCCCGCGGGTCACTCACTCGCCACCGGCCCCCGAGGGCGCCTCCCAGAGCCACGGTGCACCCAGGCCCAGACCCCTCAGTCAGATGCGCCCAGTGTGACCCGCTGGGGCTCGGGGGCGCAGGGCAGGCTGCCACTGCCGCAGGCGGCGAGCGCCCG